ATAAAGAAAATGGCTCTTTAGTCTGCTGATTTACTTACCAGCCCTCTTGTAGCAATTATGTAGGATTTTCTGTGACATTCCTAGGTGGCTAATTTGGTTACCACACGTTAGGTATGAACCCACACAATTGATCACACCAGGCACTCTGATACCAATAGGTTTATTGGGAACAGCAAGCAGGCTAGCTCTCTAGTGGACCAAGATAGCAGTGAATAAAGAGGGGGGATGGTGACAGGAGACTTTATAGGATCTTTTAGGGAAGGTGATTATGGGCTGGAACAACTGAAGAAGAGTTAATATTGGCAGGGCTACCTGGTCTGCGGGGGACTTTTAATATTAACAAAGGAGAATTTTTGGTTGCTTGCCCAGGTCAAATTCAGGTGGACCTGTTCTGCGTTTTTGGGTTTGCAAAACACACGGGGCAGAGAAGGAGAGAGTTTGGGGGCAGGGTACCTGGGAAACCAAGAGGAAGAGTGCTTGTGTTAGGGTGCCTGAGAAACTTTGAATACTCAGCTATCACCACGGAAACCTAAAAGTGTAAAAGATGTGTCCAGAGTTCACTTATCATTGACATTTCCTCTGACATTTTACCAGATTGTGTCAATCACCAGCCCAGTAAAGCCTTGCTTGTTCCGTATCTTATGACTTTCCAGGTTATCTTCATGCTAAGGTTGAACATTTTGCTGTAACATGATGAGTTCAGGGATAGTCAGCTAAAACATTGTCCTATATTCCCACACCACGCTTTATGCTGTTGATCTCTCCAACTCTGAGTGCAAAAAACTAATCTTGTGTTGTCCACGGAAATAGCAGTGACTTTTCTCCATACAGTTACCAATAACATTAATGATACTTCTTCAAACTTCTCCTCAAAACCTACTTTTGCCTCAGGGTATACAAACTACTCAGGTCTCAAAATTCTCTTATCAAGTGAGTATCCTATATAACCCATGAGGAGACATGCAGTATCTTGTGACCTTTCTAAATATTACTAGTACAGATTGAAGTAATAGATATGTGAATTTAAGGGTTTGGGAAAATATAAGGAACAACAAACTAAATCGAATGTTGATATTGAACCATTCAACCAATATTGTATACATATTGGATCCACAATGAAACTGCAAAAAAATCTACATGGCTTATTTAGTTTATTGGTCAAATTCAGATCAAAATGTAGTCCACAGTGAATAAGTTTGAGATATCTGCTGTAACTGTTGAAGAGGGTACTGAAAGACTCTACGAGGGGGATAGGGAGATAACACAGTGGAATAAGTGCTTGCATGGTAAGCGCAGGGTTCTAAGTTCGATCCCTGGTACCACCAAAAAAAAAGGCACAGTGAGATGTGAATTCTGTAAAGGATATATCAGGGTAAACTACCTCTATATAGAGGGTTCGAAAGTTGCCTATCAGGGCTGGCTAAATAGCTCAGGGATTAAAGCACCTGCAAGAAGGCACAGGGGCTGGGGTTTCAATCCCTATGCCTGCTGTGCTGGCCCCACCCTCATGGTGCATTGAGATAGCAATTAAGGCTGGATGTGGTGGAGCAGCCCTTGGGAGGCTATAAACACTTGGATCACTATGAGACTGATCTAGTAGTGAGACCCTGAACACCCTGTAGACCCTTCCCTAAAATAAAAAAAAGTTGCCCCTTCCCTATACCTTAAGAGGACTTTTCTGAGGGGAGCAACCACATCCTTAAAGGTCTCCAACATTGTTTTCTGTGTATGAAATTTTACAGAGTGGCTGTGTTCACTCAATGGGCAAAATTAAATGTGATGGGTATAAACAGATTTTGAGGTGGTAGGTGCCAAGTTTCAGTACTCCAAGAGCAGAGCAATGACTGGAATGTTCTGGCCCATGTAGACCTGTGGCATTGGCTAATTAATCACAGTGCCCTCAGCATTGTAATAGATGGGATGCCTTCTTAGTTTCACTAAATTTGTAAAACTAGAAAAATTTCAGAGCACATGAACAAGAATCTACCTTAAATTGTAAAACAGAAAATCACTGTCTCTCAACCAATTCCCAGGCTGCAATCCATTTACAGAGCCAACCGTGCTTAAAGAAAAATGTAGCCCTGTCCCTTGAAGGCAGCTGTCAGGACTCCCAGCTCTTAATCCTCCTCCCATCTTCCCAAAGATGCATATGAACTTTTCCAAAGTAAGGATATGCAGAGAAAGAAACTGATCAGAGGTTTTGCAGAAAATGAACACAGGTTATAAACTAGTATTGACTTCAGGAGATTTAAAATATTCTTAGGGCCCCTAATAAGAGGAAGTGTCTATTGAGGTCAGGTAAAAACAGAGTTTAGGACCTCACATGACTAACAGTAGAAATAATGTCTCCAGTGGGTACTGTGGTTCATTTTTCAGATACTGAATGAGGGGCTCTGCCGGTTAGCTCGGTATTTTAAGCGCCTGCTCATGCAAACTCAGTCAGGTGCAGAATACTGTCGTTAGATCCCATCTCCACCTGCCTTACCAGACCTGCCCTTAAAGGCAGACTGAACTAGCCAAAACTATCCTTCAAATAATGAATGACTGAGCGTGGTACACATAATAATTGGCAGAATGTGTGCATTGGTTCACTAAGCTTTAGAGTGAAGATCATTCCAAATTAATGGTCAAGTGGAAAAATCACTTTACAAGACACAAAGACATTACCACAACCTCAAACAATGGCAGCAATGGATGTGATAGAATTTCAGCATTGGAAATTTCATTCTACTTAATTTTGGTTATTTTTTTCACATCATTTAATACTAAGATTCAGTAGTTCTATTATATACCTTATTATTACATCTTCTTTATCCATTCATCCATGGAGGGCTACTTATTTACATTATTTATCCTAGACATTGTGAGCAATTAAATATGAATCAGTGAAGTTTATCTACCATGTATCCCTACTGAATTAAATTCTTCTAGATGTATACTCATCAGGCATTATAGTCTATATGGCAGGTGTTTTGTGGGGTTTTGTTTGTTTGTTGTTTTGCGGAACCGGGGATTGAACTCAGGCCCTTGCGCTTGCCAGGGAAGCGCTTATTCCACTGAGTCATCTCCCCAGGCCCCTATATGGCAGTTATACTTTTAATTTATTCAGGAGAATGAGGCAGAAGGGAGGGAGGATCCTGAAAAACTTATATAAGCACATATAATTCCTATCTCCATAGATAATCTAAACCAACCTGTTTATGAAATTACACACAATATGTGTATGTAATTATGCATCAATTACAATTGAGGAAAATACACATGCTTCACTGAGCGTCTTTCATGTTTCAGAAAATAAAGTTCTCTCTTTGCATCCTTTGTGCCTTTGTTCATATAGCTGTTGGGAAAGGATTCTCCAAAGCACTCAAACTCTCCATGGAAATTCTCACAGAAACTTGTAGTTGTGTCTAGGAATTGGGATCTGGAAAAGAACTTATTCATTTCTTGAATCATTTGTTGCTGACATTCTACTGCCTAAACATGAATAGTCATGAAACCTACAAGTGAAGTGGTAATTGTGTTTCAGAGGGAGTTGAGATCACACAACCATAACCCATATATTGAAGTCTGTCTACATCCTTCTCACACAAGCATGGGATTTCATGACTCACCTCATCCTGCTCCCCAAGAAGCTCAGCTCGTAGGCACCAGATGAGTATTTTCTTTGTTTTTTGTTCTTATCTGTGAAATGGAGGCTGTGAGAGAATGAGGTGATTCAGGATCTGTATTTGTGTGTTTTGTCATATGACAGAGATTAATCTGAGGTGGAGAGATGCACAAGACCATTTGCCTGAATAAATACTATGGTGAAAGGACAGTTATTTTCTATGATTTTTCTCTCACTGCATTTGAAGAAATGAATACAGAGGTCTGTAAATCTCTCTGAAAATATGTGTATTCAATTGACTATGTTGGGTGATTTTTCTTTTGTTGTATGGCAAGGTGGTTTTTATGAAAGTGTTAACATAATACTTGAGTGACTCAAACTGCAGAGAAATTAAGGGGAAAAATTATTTTTCTGATTCAAATGTGTCATGTTATTCAAAATGTCATTTTTATACATGATAGTTGTTAGCATCAAAGGCATTTTATTATTTTCTTTTCTAAATTGAGAAAAAAACAAACTGGGTAATGAAAGTTAATTCAATTTCTATGACTGAAGGTTTATATCTACAGTATTGTTAGAGAACAAAACAAATATTTATAAAATTTTCTGTTTAATGACATTGGCAAAAATTGTGTCACTATTGTAGCATTGATCGATGTTTGTTTAACCCAATTAGACTATAAGAGATTATTTAATCCATCATTGATTTTTAAAAATTGTGACTATCCCCATAGGAATAATACTGTGGTGTAAACATAACATTAGCACAGTTGTGCTATCAAAGTAAAAAAATTCTATAGGAATATTTCAAATATGGAAATATATATTGGGTTCTAATACCAGCAACACTCTGACTCCCAGATAATACAGAACAAAAATAAGAACGTGTCATGGCCTTTGCTGACACATGTAAATATCTTCTTGAATTTCAGATGAGTCATATACCTTCTATGTACTAAACATGGTTTTCCTTTAAGTCAGATATAATTAGGTCCCTTTATATTGTAAACCGAAGTACATTAAAGTTGCTACGCCAAAAATCACATTGAGTCACACATTTAAAATTCTGTATAATGATTGAGGGCTTATCAGATTTACAAACTCTTCAAAACACAAAATATATAATTGGAAATAAAATTTAAGAAATATCAATGTGCAACTTTTGGAATACATTTTGTGCAAAATCTTTTCTCAACATCTTACATTTCTGTACAGAATTCTATATTTTAAAATGTTATGGAACCTGCATAATTGAATAATGGCATCTACAGATCTGAAATTTGCAATACTCTTCCTATCTTCAATTGCCATTGGAAGCCTGGGAAATTTCTCCCTTTTATGCCACTCTTTCTTCCTTTACTTCAGTGGATGCCAGTTCAGGTTCACAGATATAATGGTCAGGCACCTGACAGTGGCCAACTCTTTGTATATTCTCTGCAGAGGAATCCCAGAGGCCATGGCAGCCCTTGGGATGGAAGATTTCCTCAATAATGCTGGATGCAAACTGGTTTTGTATCTTCAATCAGTAGGAAGGGGTGTGTCTTTCAGCACCACTTGCCTGTTGAGTATCTTCCAGGCCATCACCATCAGCCTCCGGAGCTCCAGATGGTCCAAGCTGAAAGTGAAAGCCCTAAAGTATACTGGCCACTGTACCATCATTTCCTGGATTTTGCACATGGGGCTGAACATTAGAGTTCCTATGCTTGTGAGTGACAAAAGGAACAATAAAAACATCACAAACACTATTGATTTTCAGTACTGTTCAGCTATGAGTGCTGCCAAAGACAAAACTTCCATTTTTGTAGCATTGACATTATCACATGATATTTTGTGTTTAAAACTAATGATTTGGAGCAGTGCCTCCATGGTTTTCATTCTGTACAGGCACAAGCATCGAATGCGTCATGTTCACAAATACAACATTTCAACAAGCTCTCCTGAAAACAGAGTATCTCAAAGCATCCTCATCCTGGTTTGTGCCTTTGTATCCTTCTATGCTCTGTATTCCTTCACATATGTTTGTTTTACTTTTTATGGCACACCTTCTTTGTGGCTGGTTAAAACTTCTGCTTTAATCCATGCTGGTTTCCCTACTGTCAGTCCTTTCATTCTCATGACTCGGGAGCAGTGTGTACGCAGTTTAATGTGGAAGGAGAAAACACACGTGTCATCTCATCAGACATATGCATTCAGTACTTAACACACTCAACTGTCATAAAGCCCAGAGCACCATTTTGAGCCAGTTTTTTTTAAGTGCTAGAGTTTGTAATCAATAATAATTCCCAGCTATTCAAATGAAATAATTGCTAGTAGTTATGGTTACTCTAAATTTACTTACGTTTGAAGATTCTTCTCTTTTTTCCTTTTTATTATTTTTTTTAATTTTTAATTTTTTGATGATGCAGTGCTCTATTTCGAAAAGGATAAAATGTATATTTTCTTTTAAATTGCACACTAATTAGACATCCTAGATGTATATACACACCAAATAGGGAATAATATACACTGATTGGAAAACAATTATCGACTTATTTATTTTGCACTTCCACTCTTCACCTTCTCTTTCAATTTTTTTTTTTTTTTTTTTTTGCTTTTTTGTAAGTCCTTTTTATCCTTGCTTTTAAATCAACTTTTGACTCTGGTTTTACCCACTGGTTTTCTACTGGTTTTTCCTCAGCTTGTGTAATAAGAACATCTTTAGTAGGATCGTGTGGAAGAACAGTCTTTGGCTCTTCCTTTCTCAATTTCTGCACCTCTTTTGCTTGCTGCTGCTCTTTGTATTTTGCAGCTGTGATGGATCTTATGATTTTCCTATGCATGTGTGGTGGTTGGTAGTGAGGATTTTTGTACAAAATTGGTCCTCCAAAGTTTCCCTGAAAAATCTTTATCAGATTTAAGACAAAACAAGGTCCTATTTACACAAGTTGAGCATCTTCATCTATGACCTCGAAGTTATAAAATCATATCCTATTATCCAAAATGGTGAAAGTAAATACATGGTGCACAAATGGCTGGCTTTTGGGATGACACCATGGTGTACTAAAAATCTGAATTAAGAGTGGTTTTAAAAAAGCATAGCATGACAATTCATCAATAGCAGGGTCAAAAGACAAAAGCAGTCAAGAGCCTTTTAAACAGTTTCTAGTCATCTTTAGTTCAGCTAAGGTGTTAATATTTTGAACAAGAAATTTGACGGAGGGCCCATGAAGTGAATTTGAAAGCCACATTTAAAGATCTTGTTTCTTCTTAGGTTCAAAATAGATGCAGTTATTATGGTTTTTCATTACACAGACCTCCTTAATCACAAATATTTATCTTTATGATCCATTTAAGTATCTGCTTTAGAATGAGGCATCAAGGTTCTCAAGTCCTGAATTAAACGTCTTATTCTGAAAGTTATTCCTCTTAAAGAAAAGATGAGAATCTGTTCCTTTTTTTCCACTTGTCCTTGCAAACAGCGCCTGGGATATGGCCTCTTTAAGCTTCCTCCATCTCTTCTGCCACAGGTGATAACTTAACTGGAGGCCTGGCATTTTTCTCATTTCTTTTTGGCTTCTTCACCCGAACCTACAGGTTCCCACACTGTTTCCTCTTCGCTGTTGCTATGTTTCCCCCTACCTTTTTATTTTTTAAATTCATTTTAAAAACAGTATAGAAATGATAAGACATGAGAGATGATACATATTTAGAAAACAAAAGGATGAAAGTTATTTAACAGTGGCTATTATATTGCACAATCCTGTCTTCAATGCAGTAGCTCAAATTACGGATATTGGCATATAAAATTGGTCGAAGTAAAAATTTTAAACCTCAATTTCTACCTGCAAAAAACTGATTGAAATGAAGGGTTTTTAATATCTTATTTAGTGACTTCCCTCATGACTGTTATTTCTTTATGTTGTTCACTCTTTTCACATGTCAAATATCTTTTCTTCCTTTTTGAATATCCCATAAAGAGTGATTCTGTGGTATATACAAAACACTCACACAGATGTGGATTATCACAGGAAACAATCGCATATTAATGTCTCATATCTGATAAGTTGTATTTATGACTTCTAATATTCTCTCTCTCTCTCTCTCTCTCTCTCTCTCTCTCTCTCTCTTTCTCTCTCTCTCTCTCTCTCTGATAATGCAGCACAGAAAAAATATAAATAAATAAAAGTGTTGCAATGAAGCCTGGCACACAGGTTCCAGTATCTTGTTGACATTCAAATGAGGTACTTATCTTCTCTTTACTGAACATGCTTTTCCTTAAGAGCTGAAATGCATAGGTCCTAAAGTTCTGCATTGTGGGCCATAGGTATGTTACAATTAATAAGCCACAAATATCAGTGATAATTACATTTAAAGCAAAATATAAAGAAATGGAGCACTTATGATTTAAAAACACAAAATATATGGTTCAAATAAAATTTGAAAGAATATAAATGTGTCTAATTTTGAACTCATTTTATGTGAAACGTTTTCTCCACAATGTATGGCTCTGTGTGGAATCTGATGTCTTGAAACGCTAATGATACCTGCACAAGAGAAGAATGTCATCTATGGATCCGAAATTTGTAACCTCTTCATTTTCCCAATTGTCACTGTAAACTTCAGAATTTTTTTTCATTTTTATGTCATTCTATCTTCCTTTTTTAAGTGTATGCAGACCCCCCAGCCACATATTTTATTCTCAGACCCCTGGCAGTGGTCAATATCTTGGTCATTCTCTCCAGAGAACTCCCAGGGACCATGGAAGCACTTGAGATAGAAGGCTTCCTCAATAATGTTTAATGCAAACTGCTTTTATCTGTTCAAATAGTTAGCAAGTAAGTTTCATTCAGCATCACCTACACGCTGAGTGTCGTCTAGGGCATCACTCTCAGCCCCAGGAGATCAAGGTTTGCAGAGCTGAAAAGGGCCGTAGAGTGCATTGGATCCTCTACCATCATTTCCAGCGTTCTGCACATGCTACAAAACTTAAGTTCCTACACTTGTGAGTGAAAAAACAAGCAATAAATACATGACAAAGGCTATAGATGTTCAAAAATGTTCAGCTATGAATTGTGACAAAGACAAAACTTCCATTTGTTTATGATGTTGGCATTATCACATGGCATTTTGTGTTTGGAATTTATGAACTGGAGCAGGAGCCCCATGGTTTCTTTCTGTGGAGACACAAGCAGTGAATGCAGGATAATCACATTCACAAAAGCTCATCAAGCTTGTCTCGAGACCAGAGCTTCTGAAAACATTATCATCCTAGTCTGTGTCTTTGTATCCTTAAGTTCCCTGTCTTCATGATGTCTGCTTGCATTTTTTTAGGACAGAGCTTCTTGGTGGGTGGTTAAAACTTCTGCATTGATACCTGCTGGTTTCCCTATTGCTGGCTCTTTAATTTTCATGATTCGAGGACTGTGTATGCAGGTCCATGTAAAAGAAGTGAACAAACAGCTCACCTTGTCAGATATGAGAATCATGCTAATTTTCATCTCTTAGTTACTGCATGCACTTATCCATCATGAAGCCCAAGGCACAAATATGAACCATTTTACCCTGGAAATGAGTGTAAAAATGATAGCTAAGAATATTGTGTTACTACTAGCAATTGATACTAATTCTAAATTAAATAATGTTTAATATTTACAGTTAATATAGCTTTATTTTACACTTTTATGTTTCCACCTTATTCAGTACTTTATTCTTGTCTGTCATTGTTTCTCTCTCTCTGTCTCTCTCTTTCTGTCCCTATGTCTCTCTTTGTCTGTCTCTTTGTGCCTCTCACTCTCACTGTCTCTCTCTCTCTCTCTCTCTCTCTCTCTCTCTCTCTCTCTCTCTCTCTTCTTTCTTTGGTACCGGTTTTTGCTGTGCATGTTAGATGCATAGCAATCCTTCTGTCTCTTCCTCATCAGTGCTGAGATTACAGGCATGCAGCACTACACCCTGTTCTGTGGCTGGCAGAGCATTTCATTTCACTGGGAATGAAACCCAGGACTTTATGCATTCCAGGCAGGCTATTAGACCACTGAGCTAGCTCCCAGGCTCTTTATTTTCTTTTGCTTCATATTTTTCCCAGTGGAATTTTTTTTATTTAAGATTTCTTGAAAACATGTGGTAATATTCAGTCATATCTCTCGTCTTGCATAAATATATCTATTAATCTGAGGAACAGATTTGACTACAGAAATAAATAATGTATCAATCACTATTAATCAGCTATTCTTGCTTTGAAAATCTGTAACATATGTACTATTATATGTTACCCTGTTTTTGTTTTGCTATTGTTTTTCTTGCTCTTATTTTTATCCTTCAAAATAAAAGAAAATTATACATTAAAAAATATTACAAACACTGTGGAAATCACTGTGGAGATTCCTTAAAACACTAGGAATGGAGATCCCATTTGAGCCAATATTTCCTCCTGGGTATTCTTCCAGAACTGTAAACCTCATACTGCAGTGATATTTGTGCACCCATATTTATAGCAGCACAATTTGTTATAGCTAAATCTTGGAAACAAACCAGATGTCCATAAACTGAAGCATGAATAAGAAAGATGTGCTTTTTATACACAATGGAGTATTACTCAGCTATGAAACACAATAAATTTGAGTTTTTGTTGGTAACTGAATGAAACTAGGAACACACTCAAGTGAAATAAATCAAACCCACATATGCCAATATTGTATTGTCTCCTTAGTATGAGAACCGGAAAGAGAAAAATGGAATCGGAAGGGTAAAATAGACACCATTAATAGGGAATGAACTTATTCAAAAGGAAAGAGTTAATGAATTGGGAAGAAGGACAGAAAAGGAAGTGGAAGAAAGAGATATATCTATGTATGTAAGCAGGATGTTTCTGACAACTGTGCTGTGCATCTCGTCTATAAAGAACTGGGAGACAACTAGAGGATGGTTTTGCAATTATGAATGCAAAGTTGCAAGGATATTATAGGCTGGATGGAAACTTCAATTCTTCAAGTCAAAAAAAAGCCTTATAGAAGAGGGTATATAAGTAAGATAAAATCCTTTGTATTTGAGGATGTTGTAGTCAGAGCATTTAAAAAGAAATCAACACAATACAGGATACATCATTATGAGATTATTTTGATAATAGCAACCACAGAGTCATATGCAAAGAGTGCACAAAATCTTTCCACACACTGTCAAAAAGAATCCATCTTATGTTTGATATTCAGACACATAGTGAGGTTA